GACTTTTTGGTGGAACTCGGCCCAATGGGGCCTGGCCTGGGAGTTGGGTCGGTGGCCAGAACCGAGGGGGCCGGGCCGGCCGAACGGCTATCTGTTTGCGGCGAATGGGCCTGCTGCTGCTGCTGGGGTCTCCGTGGTCCCCTGTCGGGGGAGGGGTGTTGTAACGTGCCAGGTGGGCGCGGTCAGGGTCCTGTTACGACCCTGGGTCGAGTGTTGCTGCTCACTGGAATGTGCCGTTGCTGAGAGCAACGCGGCCGACGACGGATGGGTTCGGAAGGTGGCCGCAAAGCGAATTTCGGTATGTTTCTGCGGCAACAGTAAAGGGAATGAACGGCTTCAGCGTCTTCTCGGCGAAAGGACTGTCCCGTCCCAACTGAAGGTTGAGTGTCAAGTTGATATTGATGTATTCGATATCTGTCCCTTTTGCGGGTTTAACAAGAGGAACTACAACGACCAGTCCACAAAGCCAAGAAACCTGCCCGCTGAAAATCGGTGACTAGATGGAGAAAAAGACAAAAGAGAGGTTAAGTAATGAGGGTAGTAAGTAAAGAGGCGTGGTGTGGAGGCGGTAAGGGGAAAAGAAATTAGAGAGACAAGCTTGCGCTCGGTATGCTGTAAGTCACCCAACCAGATGGGGGTGAAATGGTGATACAATGAGGAGAAAAGGGGTGCTTAAAGGAAAAAGGAAAAAGTGAAGAGTCTCCAAAGCCAAAATCAACGACTCCGAAAAGCCTGCCCCGATCCGTTTGTGTTGTTCCCCAGGCCCTTTCACGAAGAAGATGGGAGAACCATATAAAACTCCGCCTGTCCATCCATAGTGGTACAGTCCCATGAGACACCCCGGTAATACGCCGCCTGTGTAAAGATAGAGAGAGTGCCCGAGTACTAGAAAACAAAACCCTCTTCGACGAGCTTGTCAATGTCGCCGCCTGCTGCTGCGACGGCCTTGAGGGCTGCTTCGCTCATACGTCGCCTCTTTTCGAGAGCCTCTTTTTCGCGCCGCGCCTTGGTCTTGCTGGATCCCGAGGGGGCAACACCCGTCATGAGAAGAGTGTGATCGCTGGGTGTGAAGTTGACGAAGCCGCCGCCGCCGCCGCCATCGCCCATGCCAATGCCGAGCCCGAGCGCGCCACTGCTGCCACCGCTGGGCGTGCGTGGGTGGCCAGGACGACCGCCGGCTGGGGTTTGAAAGGAGCGACGCTTCTTCACGCTCGCGCCGATGACGGGACCGCCAGCGTTGGAGGAGCCAGACGAGTTGCGAGACCGACCGTTGGGCGTGGGACTGGCTGATGACGAGTCGCGAGCCCGGTTACGGTTGGCGGAGGAGGGCCGCTGTCGGCGCATTGGCGTTGTCATGTGTCGTGCACCAGCCGAAGGAGCGCGCGGCATGCGCGGGCGACGTTCGGTCTGGGGTTGGGGCGGCATTTGATGCTGCAGTTGCTGTTGGTGATGTTGCACCACTGCGTGATGATGCTGGGGCATGTGTGTGTAGGCGCCGGACTGGACAACCGGCGACGATGACGAACGGTTGGCCTGGGACATCTGGATCATGAGTCCTGACATCTCGTGGGGGTTGCCAGCAGTAGGCATGTGCTGCTGCTGCTGGCCCTGGTTATGATACTCATACGCCATGTCCCTACCCGCACCACCAGCGGCTTGCTGGGTGTGGAGGGCGAGGTTGTAAGTGGCATTGCGGGCATTCTGGGCCTGGTACTGTGAGCTGGCGTCGCTGAGGTCGACGGGACCATCCCCCCCCTGCGTGGTGTCGAGGCCGTCAGACTGAGCAAACGAGTTGGACCAGGCCATATTTCCGTGAGAGTCGGCATGGGCCGACGAGGAGGGCAGGGGCCATACGGCCTTGTTAGCCTGGGCGATACCGCCCTGATGAGGGTGGATGGGTTGTTGGAAGTACATGTTGCTCTTCTCGTCCTCAAGCACGGGGGTGTCAATGGGTGTGTGAGGGGCTTGTCTCTTGTAGACGGTAGGTGAGGGATCAGAAGCGACGCTGGGGTCGAAGCCGAACGGGTCCTCGACGAAGCCGTTGCAGAACGGGTTGGAGAGGCCCTGAGGGATGGTTGCACTGTTGGGAGGTGAGATGGGGAGGCGTTGTTGCTGTGGGTGAGAGCCGTCGGGGATGCCCATTTGTTGCTGGTCAGGACGGAGCTTGAATGCTTTGCGAGGGGAGATGGCAGGTGAGATGGGCCTGTCGATAGAGAGTGTGGACATGGTGGAAGAGTCGCGCTCAGTGGTGTTGATGGTGGTCCGGGAAAAGGAAGGCTTAGAGCGGACGGTGGCTGCTTTTTGGATCTTGGAGGCAACGGCCTTGAAGAAGCTCCGGCTGCCAGTAGTAGCGGCGGCGGTGGAGGAGGAGGTGGTGGTGGTGGTCGTAGTAGTAGCGGGAGTAGGCTTGGACGTGGCCGGGCCCTGGCCTTGGTGGAGGAGGGGGGTGGGAGGTTGCGAGTGTGAGACATGGCCCAGGGGCGGGACGCGAGAAGGTGACGCTTTCAACGAGATACCCTCGAGCCGTAGCAGCTCAGAGTCAGAGATCGACTCGGTGCCGCCAAGGCCGAGAGCTGTATCCGGATAGGTCGACGGTGTTTTCCTTTGTCCTCCTGGGACTCTACCACCTGCCCCTCCCCCTCCCCCTCCCCGTCCCAGTCCCACCCCACCACGGGCGATCGCCGGAGAAGGCTGGCTCTTGCCCGGGCGTATCTGCGCAGTAACATCGGTAACCTCAGCAGCTGGACCGCAGTCCTCCTGGTGGGCAGAGGGAAAGCGAATGGCGCCGCTACCACCGCTAGCACTACCAACACCACTACCAGCCGCCATGCAGCTAGTGGCAGCGGGACCACCTGTCGTGCTAGTCCTAGCCTCCACGGGCGGAACCTGCAGCAGCTGTTGCGGTTGCTGGTGCTGGTGGTACAGGTGGTGCTGGTGGTTGTGTTGCTGCTGAGAGTGGCAACTCAGCAGGTCGTCGAAATCGTCTGATACGCTCGTTGTGGAGGTGGACCCGTCAAGGGCGGGCATGTCGAAGAAGAGCGAGTCGGGCTGGTCAGGCCACTCGTCACCCGTATGTGACATGCTGTCGAGGTCGAGAAAGTCGTCGAAGCGCAGGTCGTCCGCTGGCATCGCAGATCCCCAATCCATGGCCTCGTTGTGCGCTGGCGCAGAGCCGCCGTGGTAACCATCTTTGCCGGCCTCAAAGTTGACCACGTCCGCGTCCAGTGAATCAACCGAGAATTGCACCGCGGAATAACCCAGATCGTCATACTCACTCTTCACTTGCGGGCCGGTGCCGCTCGAGCCCGGCCGCTCATAGTGTGAGACGGGCACCGTCATGCCTTTGACGCAAACGAAAACCAGTCAAGAGAATCGCTATGGAAGTGGACGTGGAAGTAGAAGTGAAAAGGGCGGGCAGCTTCCCCGGTAATCGTTTCCGGCGATGTTGCGAGTGAAGAATGGGCCGCCTGCACGCAGAGGCAGCAGTCTTGAGAGGAATGGGCTTGCAGTTGGGATGGGATAAATGAACGACTTGGCTCGAAGAAGGCCGTTTTGGGACGATGGAAGATGGGGAGGCGAGTCAACAAATACACCTTGTCTCTTCGTCTCGACATCTCTGCGCCTCTCCTTCACTCCGCAGCCTTCTGCCAGGGCAACTGGCGTTGGGAATGGACGCCAGTCGAGAAATGGAGTCCTTTCGTCACCAACGAGACAACGAGACAGCTGTCTTTGCTCGACTACCGTGCAATCGAGCAACCAGCGCGACAGGGCTGGCAGGGAAAATACACGCTGGTGGGGTGGGATGTCGCACTCGAACGTGCGGTTCTGAGGAATGTTGCGCCTCGGTTCACTCGTTGACGGAGTGAGGTTGTTGCCATTCCAGAGCTTCCATCAGGAACAAGGCCACAAGGGCTTGGTCCTCTGGTATAGTTTGCGCGGCGAGTACTCGGTACACACCAGCGAGAGGAGATGATGCTCGTCAAAGAAGCGAACGAGGGGCCATCCGTCCATCATGCGACAAAGCCGTCGACAAACTAACACCCTCACTCGTCTTATCCCTGGCGCAGAGGCAGGGCGACAACACCACGACCGCAAGGCCAATCCATCCACCGCAGCTAAACTCCACGGCGACTGCATGAGAGAGGGATCAATGGTCAAAGAATCTACGGCTCGTCGAGTCCAGGTGAATGGCGGTCACTTGGCTTGCCCTCAAATTGCGCTGCCATGCCCATCCAATCTGCATTGCGCGCCACAGCACCTCCCTTGGTTGCCCATCACCATGGACATCACACCGAGGGAGAGGCTGCCCAGTTCTGTCGGTGACAAGCTTTGCGCAGTGAGCTGCGCTCGGCGCTCGGCCTCAGGCCCAACGCTTTTTGGGGCCAACAGCGAAAGGACCTCCCTGGCCCCTACCAACTTGGGGTATGGTCACACAGCTTGAGGCTTTGCGTGAGAGTGAGAGAGACGCACACAAACACAGCGAGATGCGTGTGAACCCCACCACACTTTCACCTATTTCGATGGATGGTTGACAATGTCCATGCCCAGTAATACCATATGTCCTGTCATGCCAACCTTTCGCCCTTGCCGGCGTGCATGCGTCTGTCTGCAAGGAACACCTGTATTCGTCGGTCGAGATCGGCGGTTGGCCCGCGTACCAAGATGCGCCTGAGACACTCCCTCCCGTTGGAGGGTCTGATTAGATTCCAGAGAGAACCCCATCCGAATCCAACCACGACGTACAAACCACCAACGAATGCCGGTTGCCGGGCGGACCGACGCACACCATGGTCATCCATAGCCATGACAGCCTAGAGGACCTGCTGATGAGCCGCCAAATTGCTGGATCTCAATCCTTAAACTTTCATCGGCTGGTAGATGAGGCCGAAGCTATGGCACGCATCTCCGACGACACCACACCGCGCATTCGGGGGCGGCGGCGGCCTTAGGATGCCGTGCTGTGCGCGATCAAAGACCATACATGTTATGACATGGCCTCAAAATGCGAGTCGTGCCCAACCCTGCGAGACTCGGTATCGCCATCTCCCTCACGAAGGGTCGTGCGGAACGGCCGAGAGGTCACGTCAGCCAGAGAAGGAGGTGGGTGTTATCAGAGGCCTCACATAGGATGGCTTGGCCTTCCCGTCGCCAGCCGCCGTTCATGTCGGCCGATGTTCGATCACGCCGGCTCTCCCTAGCGCTGACAAGGCGGCGCTGGCTATTGAAACCAAGTTTGCTGCAGCCCCCATGGCTGCATCGTAAGATCTGACTGGCTGGTGAGCCACCCAAATCAAAATAACCCGTCGAAACGGCCGCCCGCGCACTTCGCTTGCCCCGAGTTTGGGTGGAGGATTGACGCCATCCCCAACCCTCCTGCGAAAATTCGAAAACCTGATTACTCTAACAAAAAGACCACAGAATTAGCAATACAAAACGCAGCAGCGCCGCCCCACCTAGTGCGAATCGTCTTATCCTGCTAGCTTCGGAGTTCCATCTCTGCTGCGGCGTTCTGGAGCTATCCATGTCAAAGGCATAACATTGTTCCTAGTGTGGGGGGTTCCAACAAGTTGGCTCGACCAGAAATAGATAATGGGGTTGGTACCCTGCTGGTCAATTTTCGTCAGAGGTCCTACTATGATCTCATCAAATGCTCTACCATGACGGGGCATCGCGCTTCCCAGGATGAAGAAGCTATCCAAATTGGCATTTCAAACACCGAGACGGGAAAAAAAAGTCGAAGGAAAATCATATCCTTATATGGCGCGCCATATAGCGCGTTGAAGACCGAACACCTTGCGGTCAACCCTATGCCCCTCTAATCACACCAAACGCCTTGAGACATCATGGTCCTGTCGCCATGATATTGTGGTACGCCATAACTGTGATTATAGCGGATGCGAAAATGTCAAATCCAACCCCGGGTAGTGCCGCCGCCGTAATCACCAACTGCATAGGAGGTATCATCACATCTTGCACACGTTGCAAGGCATCGACCTCTGCCGCATATCATAAGATCAGTTCGGACCCTCGTTTGCTGAAGCTGGGGTCGGTAAGGTCGGTAGGTCCTTTCGTTTGCGCATTCTTGGTCTGCTCCTGACGACGGGTTGGGTCCTTGAGGTATATTGGCCGGACGCTCGGTAGCGGAGCGGCCCCAATTGCCGATATCCGTTGGTGCTCGATTGTCGTAACAACTCGGTGGACGAGTGTCGCCACACATACTCCTCGCCGTTCTCGTCGCAAAACCCTTCGTCTACCTCGAGGGTGTCGCTTGCAGCCAATGCGTCCGGATCCGCAGGCTCAATAGGTCCATGTCTCACTGTCGAGTCGCGCGGGGAGAGGTGTGTCGTGGCGATAACGTGTTGCGAATATTCGCCGCCATCATGCTGGGGGCTGGTGGGCTCGGCAAGTTTTGGAATTTTGGTGTTGGCAGCGTCACCGTCGGAGTGCGCATCACGTAGTCGCTTCAGTCGTCTCTGCCCCCGACATGCGATTTTGCTCAGAAACTCGGCTTCCGATTCCTCATCAAACGCTTCGTCATCGTCCACTTCCAACGATGGAGTAATAATGCTGACAGGAGAGGCGCGGGTGTCACGGCGAGGAGCCAGTACGGATTGAGGACATGAGGGTGACGACGCTGATGCTGACAAAGGTTTCGAAGAGGATATCGCTGGTGCCATGAGGTTTGGAGCGGTTGGCGTACAACCGAAGCCAGTTTGGGGGTGCGGGTGCTCTAGTGACAGACGTTTCGGGGACAATAGGAACTCGTCGTGATTTGGTCCCAGGCGCCTGGGTGGCGGGTTGGGTGTAATGGCGGTGCCGCTGTAACCTAACGTGGAGCGGGTGGACATGTCGTGCGATGGCTGCGTGAACGCCGGCCGCGGTGAATAGGTGGACGGAGAACCGGGCTCATGGAGCGATGCGTCCAGCGACATGGTCCAGAGAGGTTCAAACGGGCGGTGGACGAAGTGAACAACGACAGATGATCGAGTTGCTGAAGGAGTCGAGCCGAACGGGGGTCAGTAATGGTATTATGAGGACATCCACACGTGCTGCACTAGTGGGTGGCCCAAGGGACGCCGTGGGCGCCCCAGATCGCTGGTGGATGGGTCGCTCGTAGTGTAGGATGGCGACCAGTGGCCGACTTTGTAGCCTAGCGGTTCAGCCCTTGGCAGGCGAGGATGCTTGCGTTGAGATAGACAGTCGCTGTGAATACGACGGTGGTTCGGCGTGCTTGAGGTATCAAGAGCTCGAGACCATGAAGGTCCAACAAGGCCACACCTGCGTCTGCGGAACAAGAGCACAATGCGAGGCAGGCAGACTGGCACAAAGACCATATGGCTAGACAGCCGGGGGGGGAGGTGAGGGCGCAAGCAGCACAACCCAACCTTGCCAACCGAGACTGATGGTGGCCTTAAGCTGGTAAGGTGAAGGATTGCGTTTGTGCGTATTGTGCGTCGGCGGCTTCCCTGCGGGGACGGATCAAATCAGGGGCCAGGGAAATGACCACTGGCAGTGCACCGTGCAAGCCCCCAAGCCGGCGTTGCCTGTTGAGGAATGGGCGAAGGAGAGCCCAGGTCGAGGTGCGAAAGGACAAGGCGTGGTCGGCGCTTGGCGCTATGTTGCCCTAGTGGGTAGTGCGAGTGCGCCTCGGACATGAAGCGATGGATGATGCGGTGTTACGGTCCAAGCGAACGTTCTTGGAAGACCTTTAGTCGTCTCGTGTTCTGGATTCAGGGGATCAGCTGGGAGGGTTTGGTTCTCGAGTGAGAAGGTGACAGGCGAGTATGTGTACGCCTAGAGTTTGGGCACCCAAGTAGAGAAGAGGCGAAAGGCAGCGGAAGGGAGGAAACCCAACGAGGCAAGCACATGTGCAGGTCCCGCACACACGGAGCCTGCTACATTCCTTTTGGTCCGCGGCGCTGGGTCGGCAGCGCCATTCGCGGAACCGCTGTGAGCACTTCTGCACTGTATCTAGACCGTTCGTCCCGTGCGGGCGCTGCAACGTATCTGCTGCACAGTAGGCAGGTATTGTAGGTGCCCACCCTGGCTCGGTAGACCCTCCTGAAGAGATGGGATCGTCGCGGCGAGCTCGCAGGGGGGGGGAGGGGGACCGAACGCTGTGCTAGGGATCCCAGTGCCCTGGAACGCGGGAGACTCGAGTTCCCTGCCACGCTGTCAGGCTGTCAGGCGCCGTCTCGACAAGCTGACGTCGCGATGCCTGCAAACGAATGATTGACCGACTGATTGACCCGGATGACTCGACTGACGTGCTCTGTACCTATGTGTGTGACGGCAGCCCCAGCTGGTCAATGCTGCAGCCCAAATAAGGTCTCTGCAGAGCTCGGGGACGAGATGAGCGAGTGGCAGAGATGTGCGCGACGTTTGCGTTGGTTTCCTCTTTCCCAGTTTGCACAGGAGTACCCATCCACCGTAATCAGGTCCCTGGGTAGATGGACCCTGCCTGCCGTTGGCGGCCGAATGGTCACTATGCAGTAGTCGTCTGAGTGAGTTTCCAATTTTCACCTGCTGCATCACCTGCTGCATCGAACCTGCCCCGTGGTCGAGTGAATTGGCGCTGGGACGCCAGGAAGGGCCAAACAAACTCGACTAGGGGCGGAGCAAAGGCCTCGAAGAACTGCACAATCGGCAGGAGCGGACGGAACAGGCGCGCTAGCTGGGTCTTCCTGCCGTGTCCTGGTCCCTGTCCATGCCGCAATTGCAGCTGCGCCTGCGCGCCCTACACTTACTTGTACACTTGCGGTTGTTTTCATTGTCCTGGTTCTGATCCCGGTCGTGACTTGTGCCGCACCACTGGCGCCTGGGTGCAACTGCTGCATCTGCACTGTATCCTGATCTTACCCCCCTTCCTGCCCTTCTCCTTCTCCATGTGTCCCATTTGTGGTGAAGGATCATCAGTCATCCCCCCCCGAGCGGGCCTCCTCCGTCATCGAACCGTCTCTCATCACACTCAGGGTTCAAGCCTCCATCGCTCAGTGGTCAGCTCTCTGGGAGCTTTGAGTCCGGCCCGGATGAAGTCTGTGTTCTGCGGGCGTTCCTTTAAATGACCAAACTTGTCAGCTCTGCTGGCGCACGCAAGGCGCTGAGACACGCTTCACCGATTGTCTCCCTCGACACGTCCCCGAGGTTTTAAGACAGAGCTTGTCTCGCCGGGTGCCTTTCACGCATGACGGATAAGGTTGCGTGTTTCTTGTCTTCGGCACTGTCGCCATCATGGCAATCCCGCTCATTACCGCCACACAGCAGTACTGCGGACCCAACCGTCTGGGTGAAAGGACACGCATCAGGATACCATCACACCTCCCTCTCTCGTTTCCATGCATCCGAGCAGTCTTCGGCTGTCGGCGTCGTTGTCGTGTTTTGCCCTCTGCCTCAACACGGTGGTGCTAGGCCTTGCCTGTCGCGTTAGCCAATTGCGTAAGCGTGGTAGTCATCTTAGTATCGCCGGCCTTCTCTACCAATGTCCGTCCGCTGCTGCGCCCACAATCGTCCCGTCTGTTCATGCGCGCGTTCACATCCGCCTGATCGTCTGAGCGTTTGGTGGGAATGTGGGTATCAGATGGTGGTGGTGGGCAGCCGCACCCATCTCCAGCCCTTCTCCAGGCGATCCACAGACCCGGGCCAAGTAGGTCCGCCTTGACTTGTCCGATGGCGCCCCCCTCCCCAGCTGCGTCCAAGGTCCGGTGGAAAGTCACTCAGCAGCAGAAGCACTTGTGAACGACTCAAACTTGCACATATTCATCTGCCATCGCACACCAGCCTGATCATTGTATGCCTTTCGGTGAACGCGGTAAGCGTCATCACATCTCTCCGGGTCTGTAGGATGTGCGCGCCTGGCTGTTCCAGGACGTGACCGGGTATTCGTGTCATATACTTATGTGGCTACAAGCTTCCAGGTTTTGAGGCCCCTGAGCCGAGGCCAGGTTGTGAGCTGAGGCCAGGTTGTGAGCTGAGGCCAGGTTGTGAGCTGAGGCCAGGTTGCTGCTCCGGGTTAAAAGTCTACAGTTCCGCTGAAGCCCACTCCGGAATACAGGAAATCGGAACGTCCGTCAGCCACCTGCACAGCAATCAGCAAACTGATCAGTGTCCAGAACACCCAACCGCGTTCTTCCGTTACACACCTCGTCACAGACCTTGTCACATAACGTTGCACTAGGAGCAAGCCTCTATTCTTGTGTTCATGACCCAGTCTGCGCCGTACCTTTGGATTCAAGTAACGTACCTTCAAGCCCGATTTCACATCAACAGGAGGAGTGGCCGAGCGGTCTAAGGCGCTAGCTTCAGGTGCTAGTCTACATTGTAGGCGTGGGTTCGAATCCCATCTCCTTCATTTTGACCATCTTTTTTTTTGGCATGATTCGCACAACCCCTTTTTGACTATCGCTTGTGAATCAGATAGCACGTCTTCTCATTCGACCAAAGCCTGGCACATGTTTTTGCAGAACATCCATATTGACTCGCATGTTTGCCAAGCAGTTCGGCGCCTCCCAAGACCCCCAGTCTGAGTCCTTGCACGGCACTACCGCCGCGGTGGTCTGTCTTGGAAAGACCGAGAGTTGACCAGTACAAGTGCTTTCTTACCCGAATCACTCAGGGGTGCATCGGCTTCTGTTTTGGCACTTGCGCAAATAGAACCTGTTCTTGGCGGCGAAGCCCTTGAAGGATACCCTGCAACGACGGCCCGTACGTTAGTCAAGGCTGACCAAACGCGCCGAGCCGGAGGACTACGATCGAAACCGAGCAGGCTTGTCCGGGGCTAGCCGGAGGTAAGTATGCTCAGCCAAACATGGTAGCAGTGACGGAGATTTGGGACCAGGGCCAGGATGTTGACTCTCCTACTGTGCCATGGCACGTCACAAGAATCTGACCGCTGCATCTACCAGGAGAAAGTCATTAAGCGAGGTGAGCAGTCGCTCGGATCAGCGTCTGTCTGCAGGGCCGCCGCTGCCCGAGTGCTCGATTTGGGAGACAGCACAGACCCTCCTTCGAGAGCTAC